AAAAAAAAAAAAAAAAAAGAAAAAAAGAAAAAAGACAGCTTAAACACAAAAACTGTACAAAAATGCTTCGATCAATGATAACAGGAGAAAAACAAATGTCAACTATGTTACAATTTAAAAGCTGAAAAAAAAAAGTCAGGGATTTTCTCCCACATGTCAGCAAACGTCATCCAATATTCTTAAAGCAAGGATAACTAAATAAAATACATGTGCAGCGTATTCTGCAATTCCATTACATACAGTAGTTTTTTTTTTTCAAAGCTATTTTTTTAGTATAGTTAATATAAAGCAGTTGCACAAAAAGCAAAAGGTGTTTTGACAAACAGGTCTGCATTTATTCCTTTTGAGGAATGATATCTAAAAAAAGGACCTTTCCACCTTTTCCGCCCTCCCCACCCTCCCCCCAGAAGACAAAGGCTCACACAGACACAGTGGGATATATATGTACAACATAATAAACCCCTCCCTAAAGAAGCAACTGTATATCCAAAGGGATACAGAATCAGAATTGTAAAAATCAGAGTGAAGTTTGCTTGATGTAAAGCCTGAGATTTTCAGTTGGTTCTTCTGCAAGGCTGCGACACCTGCCAGATATGTTAAAATCTAATTTTTTATTTCTTTTTCTCTTTTTTTAAATTTTTTTTATTTTTGCTACAGTCTTTAGACTAAGCATGCAAGACATACAACTAAGTGCAACTGAGTGAAATGTATTTTTTAATTACTCATTCCCTAACAGTTTGGACTGAGGTATGCGTACTAACAGTTTCTCATGCTGTTATCTTTACTCATGTCTAGCTACACATGCTGAGAATGAACTAATCTACCAGATTTGTATCCCCTTCTGAATACCGAACTAACCAGCAAACCACTCAGTTTAGAAGCACAGGGCTCAATTCTCATGATCCCCATCTGGCTACCGCCGGCACGTCACGAAGCTGCCTGGATATAATTTAAAAAGAAAAAAAATGTTTCAAATGACCACAGACTGCCCTTTTTTTTTCTTTTCTTTTTTCGTCTTTTTCTTTGTTTTTGAAACAGAAAGCAGAGTTGAGTTTTATAAAAGTTAACTGCCAATAAAATCTCTTTTACCAAAGCTTATGAGTGGACAGGAGTGTTATTTCCTTATGAAAAATGCTAACCGAAAACTAAACAAAACTGAGCAAACGTGCCAAGATCAACTGAAATTAAAGCAGTCGATCTAGCCGAGTCCCCAAACAGAAGTGGCACACAATCTGTAAAACCAAAGACCCCCAAAAATCTTTTTGCCTTTTAGTTCTAGAAATACTATTATGTGGTCCAGTCAAATTGTGGGAGCTTTTCTGTCCTCTTTCTGTGTTTTATTAAACTGCCTCCTTTATCCGATGCTCTGATTTTCTGCCCAATCCGTGTGCCTTGGCTTTCGCAAGCTCCCCTCTCGCAGCTCCGCTCCTAACACTGTTTCCTCCTTTTAGCCTCAAAAGCTCTCGATTCCTCTTTACAGAATTCGGGTTTGGTCGCTGCAAAGAATTGCAAATAAAAAAAGTAACAACTTTGGTTCAGACGTCTACTTGGCCTTCTAAATTTACTAGAATAAAGGAGCAGTTTCCCTCTCAGGTTAGCAATAGCCCACATCTTGTCATTTCCCTCTAAATTCTTCAACCTCCTTTGATCAACAATAAGAGGATATTTGGCTTCATAAGATAAAGCATATAACAGAGAACATAATTTACCTTTGTGTAATATCTTTGGTAATTTTAGGAAAAAAAAAAGGTACAAAGAAGAATATAAATTAAGCTCTGAAAAGCTTTTGGAAGTAATAATAAAAAAAAAAAGAGAAAGCTACAGTCCTACATAAATAAATGAGTGACGGGAAAGTGGTTGCAGAATGAAAAACGTTTCGGTGTTTGGTGACCAAGGTTTCCTGACCTAGAGTGACAAATTTGGTAGTACGGTTTGCTCTGGAGAGCACTGCCAGCTTTGCCAGTGCAAATTCCCTCCTGCATTTCCCGCTGGCCAACGCGAGGCTTTGACACTGGCTGCTGGGATATTGCATAACCGCCCGCTGCATTTGCACAGCCAAAATTAACACTTCAGCATTAGCGGGGCTCCGTCCTTATTAACTCCCGGAACAAGTTCAATCTGAAATCTAATTTGTATTCAAACAGATTAATGCCACCAAGCAATCCTGAACTGATGTTTAACCGTGAAACATTGCCACGTACAATAACAATCTAATGAAGTCATCTTTCCAACCACTATTTGCAAATGCAAATGCAAAAAAGAGAGAGAGAAAAAAAAAATAAAAAGAATTGTATTAATAAATGTATAGGTGCCCATCTCGGTAATCTTAGATACTTCCAGAAAGATTTGCTGACCCATTAAAATTCGTGTTAAAGAACCGAGAACCTACCACTGTACTATGCATCCTCTAATAAGTGAATTCTGTTGGTGCTGCATACATTTGTTTGTGCTGTTCAATTTTGTGGCATTTGCTAATATTCACCATTGCTGCCAAAAAAAAAAAAAAAAAAAGGAAAAAAATAAAAGGAAAATACTGCTTTGTGGAATGAATCTGTGTTGCTTCCTACAGTGTTTCTATGTTCATCTGTCATTCATTCTCATTCTTGCAGTACTTCATTCCCCTCTCTCTCTTCCTCTCCGTTGGACAACCCTTCCACATGTATAGTGCAGCATTTGGGACCTTTTCAAAAAACAACAACACAAAAAGAGACACCGAAATGGAATGTTTTCCATAGCTAAAGAAAACATGGTGGCATCTGAAGGAAACTGGAATGAATGACAGAAAAAACTACAAACAATTCAATGACATTCAGCTTCGTATAATAAAAACACCTATTAACATTCATCACAAAGTACAGAAAACGTTTAAGCCTCCAAGAGGCCCTGGGCCCGGCTGAGGCCTGAGGTCAGAACTTAAAATGGTAGAGGAGAAGTGGGGCGGGGGGGAATAAAAGCAATACATTAGAAAGTTTGGGATAATTTTTTCTTTTAACCCCTCCCCAATATACACACTCACACGCACACACACATATCCACACATGTGCACACACAGGCCTTCCCCATCCCGAATGGAAGCAAAAAAAAAAATCAAAAAACAAAGGAAAAAAAAAATGGAGTAAAGGCAGTGATAATCAACATGCAGTACTGTGCAAATATGTTGTCCATTGGAATCCTTAAAATCTGGGCAAAGACTTGATCTGCAGTTCAGGTGTACATGCTCAGTTTGATGTCCTCAAGTGTCCAAAGTTGGCAGGACCTGCAGTCCACAGTTGGCTGCTAAATGTAAGTGAATCAGTTTAGCAAATTTACAACACTGATGTTGACTGTAAGAGAGGAAAATCCCAAGTACCAAACAAGTCCATCCAATGCACAGAGTACAAATTCCTTTTTTCAACAAAAAGTAGAAAAATCAAAAATACTCCCAAATGGGATACTTGATGGCACTAAGAGTTAAACATATTTCATAGTTGTCAAAGCGGACTGAGAACCCTCCAGACTGTACAATAATGGAGAGATTTCACAGAGAGACTTGACGTGTTCTTCCAATCTTCATTCTCAGGGTGACGGTTTCAAGACATACTCATTCTATGTCCTCGTTTACAGGTTCGTCTTCATAATCTCTGTCATGGTCAAAATCTGGACTGTGGTTGGCTGTTGTCACTAAGGATAGCGGCCCTTCGTTCTCGTCTGGGTCTAGCGGTTCTTCTTTGACGTGCACTGGGTGCCTGTGAAAASGAACACAGGGTCCATCAGCAGAGACCTGGTAGGAAGGGGTAGAGAGGGAGATGTTTTGGGGAAGAAATGGAGTGTTTGGGTACTCCTGCACRGCCCAGCAATCTCAAGAACGGACCTCAACGTTGGCGTTGGCCAACCAAAGACACCATTGACGCGCTCTACGCTCTTCCCGCTGTGTGYGACGCTCGGTGAGCGGCGCTGGCACGGGGGGCTTCTCCCGGGGCCTTAGCAAAAAATGCTCTCCGCTGACACATTACGGTGATTAATGCAATCTCCAGCGGCACCGGGGCAAGGAGCGGCGGGGAAGGCGCGGTGCGGCGCGGCGCGCGGGAGGAGGCTGGGCTCGCCGCCGCCGCCGCGCGCTGGGTGTTCCGCGGCGCTCGTTAGCATGCACGGGCGGCGAGAACAACTCTCCCGAGGACGACCCCAAGCGAGGGTCTATCATTAATCAACTTCAAGCAAACACAGCAAAGAGACACCATGATACATGCTTTAAACTCCAAATTAATGCATATTTTTACAAACTGTCAATAAGGGAAGAAAAGCCCTGCCAGGAAACACAAACAGAGAGGAAAAGGCTCGCTCAACACAACAATGTGATAAGAAAGCACAGTCCTAACGAGAATAATAACGCTGTCAGCTGTAAACAAGGCAGAACATGATCCCCAGCTCATGGTGGGCACCAGGATGTGCTAAAGAGATGAGATCTGCCAAATTTCTCATTACGGAAGAGCACATGAATAACCCGCAGGGGAACGGGGCTTGGTCATTCAAAACGGGCACGACAACAATTGGAAAATGTTGTTCGTAAATCATATTTACAACAAATCCTATACAAATACAAATTACCTTTTTCTTTCCTTTTTTTTTTTTTTTTTTTAACGGATCGGCAGCTTTTGAAATGTAAAACAGCCATATGAGTCAATAGTGCCTTGTTGGTGGGATTTTACGGGAAAGTAGGGTTTTATTGACATTACCAAGTATTAATAATGCGACACGGCAACGGAGACCCTGTTTGCTTCCTAAATAATTGATGTTATAGGCAATCCTTTAAAATAAAGTGTTAATGAGTTCAAGTCCCACTCTGGCTCCCATCGAGCTGGTACCCACCTCCCAGAGGCTTGGTTTTTCCACACACGTTTGTTTTTTCTGACTTAACCCTTTCGTGCAAGTGACACATAACCTAATCTGAAGGGCAAACATGCACTGCTGAAGCCTCCTGGCTTCTCGTGCRGCTCTGCTTCAAAATGAAGGATGGAAAAGGCTGCATCCTGGTTTATCTTTTAYGGAAGCGGGGACAGCAATGTGTCTTGTCCTCCACTGCATGGACGGGCAGGAGGAATAAATCACTGGGGAGAGTGCACACTTCTCAGTAAGTTGCAAACGCCTTTCGTGTCTCAGAACATTGCAACTTCTCAACAACTTCTTCATGGAGATCGGGGTTTTCACTGCCCCATCTAGCCCCACTGTCCAAGGACCATGTGGAGGGGGATCCCACCAACAAGGAGTGTCCAAGCACACCCTTATCTTTTGCCATCGTTGTCAAAAAAAGGGGGAAAAACTCAGATGCAGAACTCGGGGATGCAGAATCTGCAAAGAAGTGCTGGAGAAGCATCCCAGAGTCATTGAGCTCTCACGTTCTCCAGGTACGTGCRCGCGAGCCGGCCTTGGGGCTTGCTGTGGCCAGAGCATTATATATATCATCAGCTACAAAAACATACACTATGGACAAGCTGTGGGGCCCTCACTTGRGGGAAAATGTGAAATGAGAAACAGAAGGGGGAAATGGTGGCTTTCCACCGATAAAGCATGTGCTACTCCCTTCATGGCAGCAATCTCCCCTACCACTCTTTAATTTAGCAGCCTGGCTTGTTGGCTTTTGGTTGCTCATGTCATTGCCAAGCTTGATTTTTTTTTTTTTTTGTAATAGTTATTCTGGAAGAGGCGGATGGGAAGTTTTCACGGGCCACAACGTGCCACTTAGGAGGCACTGACACGTCAAGGGCATCTCCCTTGGACATCAGCTCCAAAGGGAAGACCAGGAAGAGGATGGCAGAGCCAATGGCTACTCCCTCCTTCCAAAAAAATCCTGCTGTCTGGAGGAAAAAAAGCTAGTTGCTAAACTACAGAGAAGGTAGCAGCCTGGGTAGGCAAAAAAAAAAAAAAAAAAAAAGGAGAATAGAAGAAGTTCCCATTTCTTTTCTTTAGCAGCAGAATTGCAGCACATTCCTTTCAAGCAGATGCCGAGGGCTCCAGAAGGGGTTAACAATAAATAACCTTGCTGAACACAGATTCGCCTTCTTTTCACATCTGAGTAATTCCTTTGTTTGTCCACTCTGGGAACAGAGGAGTTTTTAATAAAGCTGACTGTTGTTTAAAGCCACTGTGTTCTGGTGGTGCACACAGCATGGAGTGGTTTGCTTTGTGGCTACCTTTGGAGCATATCAGGATGAAAGTGTTATGTCCCCAAGCTGTAATTATGCGACTACTTTCTAGTGTTTCAAAAGGAGGCAGAGAGAGAGGGAAGAAAAAAAAAAAAAACACACTAGCTGTGGTTCAATGTGTCATAAAAAGGAAAAGAATGAGCGGTAATAAGACTTCAGCTTAAGTGTTAGACTTCTTAGCTGTCATGTTAACAAGGTCCTCTAAACCTTACAATAAAGTTTAAGGCTTGATTTATTCTAATATTCTGCGGTTGTTTAAAAAATAATTTGCATTGTGAGGAGGAAGTCCTGTTGTGAGGAAGGAAGGGAGCGGGGTCACTGCCAAAGCAAAGCGCGTCCCGCGAGCGGGAGCCGGCGCCGGGGCATCGCCACCTCGCCGCGGCCTGCAGCACCCACAGAAACGTTCAGCAGAGAGCACAGACAGGACCGGTGCCGAGAAAACATGCAGGAAACTACAATAATTTACACACTGCAATGGAAAATGGGATTTTCTGGAGGATAATGGCCATGAGGCTTCCCTGCTCCGCTCTCTCCAGGCCCGGCTCTGTGTCCCTCACCTTGATGTCTGTGCGTAAGGGGACAAGTGTTCCCCACACTCTGCGACACATCCTGGACCCTTCTACCTGCCCTCATCATCAGCTCAACATCCCAGACCTTCATCCCTGCCTCTCCAGCTGGGAGAAACCCTTGAGAAAGCCTCATTTCTGGGAGAAAAAAAAAAAAAAAAAAGAAAAAAAGAAAACAACAAGAAAAAACCCCATGTGCCTCCACTCTGTCCCTCCGTGGTCATGGGCAGAGCATAACAAGTTGTGACTAAAACTGCCTCAAGACGAATCCGTCCGGGAGACGCTGGAAGTGTGTCATGTAACGCGACTCGGGGAAAGATAATTAATACTGCACAAACAATCGCGGCTAAAGCTAAACACATTATTTGAGTGTTTTGAAGTAAATGGTAAAAGACAATGTTTAAATTAATTATTAATTAAAAATGAATGTTGCCATCTTTAAAGCTTATTTTTCAAAGCACATTGTGCACTGATTTAAAATGCTGAAATATCAAAGTAGCCGGAGCTTCAGATTCCTTCGTGCCCCCTCCCCTCTGACAACACATTATGCAGGTGGGAAACTTTTTCTTTTGCCATTAAATGCTAATTAGTTTCACAACTAATTACTCCAGTGGTATTAGGTTAATGTTTTTTTCCTACTTTTTGATTTAGACTTACTTTTGCAAATCCCTTATTCAAATCACTTTGAAGCAAAACGACTACAAATGAGTTTCTCTCTTTTCCTGCGGTGCCAGGCGAGCCGCGGCCGGGCTCTGCAGGCAGCAGGAAGGCAGCAAGGCTCCGTGTTACACGTGCCCTCCTCGCGCCGCTGTCCGGGCAGCGATGCTCCTACCAATTTCCCTTTTCATATTTTAAGAGCAATCTATAAATCATGCAGACCTTGGCACACGCCTTCCTTAACACTCGGTGATATCATTGCACGTTGAGCTGTTTTTTTTCCYCCAAACCCATGAAAACGAGTCCATTTCTCAGCTCTACCTCATGTGCATATCCTGAAGCAGGGAGAAGCAGTTTTCTTAAAAACATGCAGTTGTGCAACCCAGTGGTCCAGGAGTTGGAAGAGGAGAATTGCAAATGAGACCTGCAACTTTATAGCTCTGCGTGCTCATCAGGCCTGGCCGAGCTGATTGCTTTTAGGTAAAAGCTGGTCAATGGTCCTTTCATGTTCTGCTCAACCTCAGCACATCCCAGAAGGGTGATATCCACGTCCTGCTGCTCAGCCCAAGAGCTGGAGGAGCAGCATGTGCAGGACGGAGGCCGCGTTTCGGTACTTACATCGCTTGCATAGGGGAACGTCCCGGACTGCTGTCGCTCCCGTTACTGTTCGTATGCTCCATTGCACCGTTAAGCTCTTCCCTCATGGCACTGGCCAAGTTGCCCAGAGTGGGATTTCCCATGGAAGCAGTAGTGTATAGAGGTATACTGTTCTCAGCCATTGAAGCCTGCCAAGGATACAAACACACGCGTGAGGAGCCTGAGCAACGCTTCTATACATTGCATAGTACAGCCACTTATTCCAAAACACTCTCTGCAGCTATGTCATGTGCAATTACCAATTCTTTTAAATACTGTGCTCTCTGGTAGGTATTACTCTGATTCCACCAAGAGAAACTGTGCATGGAGAAGGGCAATGCGACCGAGTTCTGATTCAGTCACGACCCAGCTGCAAAGACCCCCCTGGTACAGACTGGATCATGTTGAGCTGCTCGGATACACCAGAGAATAAACCTGCCCATATACAGAATTATCACTGGAGGGAAAAACTAAAAATCTAATGAATCTTTATCAATCTACCACATTTCTAAGCACGAGCATCATAGTTCTTACGGACCCTATCATCTTTTTTTTTTGCCTTGCTTTCAAGAACTCTTGATCACTGGCAAGGCCAGAGCAAACTTTCCAACCAGAAGACTTTGCAGAAGAAGAAAGAATTCCTAAAAATTTCCCTGCTTTTTCCTGCCTCTCTGGCTGCTCACACTTGCTGTACAGCCACACGGCAGGAGCAGAGCTGAGGGGACTCACGGACTATCTGCTATGAAAGCAGGGGCTGGCGGGGAGCTTTTTGTTTATTTATGTATTTATTTTTTGCAAGCATCAGCCCATCCGACAGGGCTGTGTGGGCAAAAGGATGCAGGGGAGGTCACCCCGAAGGTCCCCAGAGGCCGTGTTGGGACTAGAGAGGTGCGACGGGCGGGCAGCCCCCGGAGCGTCCCCGTACCTTCCACACGGAGAGCGGGGAGAGCGCCGCGTCTTCGCCCTGCCCGCAGGGAAAACAGACGGAGGAGACGTCAGAGGGCTCTGCGAGAGGCTCCCGGGGAAAAGCAACTGCCCCCGGCACCCCTGGGAGCGCGGAGGGTCCACGGACGCAGGGACGTGCAAAAAAAWATGCAACTTTGCAAACACCCACTGGTGCTGGACAGCTGGTTAACTATTAATTTGACCCAAACTACGTTGGTACTCTCTTTTTGCACCCACACCCCAGACGTTACCCAGCGGCAGGGGACTGGGGACCTGCTGATGCACTTTAAAACTAAAAGAGGACTTGTCCTGGTGCAATGAGCACCATGGTGTCCTGTCCCTGTGCATTAGGARGGACACAAAGCGAAGACAATCTAGCCCAGATCCTCCTCTCCATCCATTTGCATGGCTGCTCTTTGAGGAGACTTCCAGGGAAAGTGGGAACGGTTTGGAGGTTATCACAGAAGGCGAGAATGGATGGAGATGACGACAACAACATGTGTTTTAGAAATAAAACATGGACAGCTCTATATGATAAGCATATTAATTGAAATTAGTCACATAGCTAACAACGTGAAGAAATGCAGGATCACTTCATTTTTGCCTTTCAGCCTCATGAATGCAAACTGTGCTTGTAATCTTAATACTATTCAGGAGACAAAGCAGTCTTTAAAAATCACACTTCACAAGACTCAAGGGAAAATAAGTTACTAATGAACGGTATTTACAGTTGCTTCGTTTAAACATGCTTTCATTTGCTTCTCAGAAGTTACTGCAGAAACTCAGATCATTAGGAGAAATGCGCAACATCCCTTTTCTCCTAATAACCCGTTTCTCAACTCAGAAAATGCCCTTGCAAACGTACAGGATGCAACCTGCAGCCAACTTCTTGAGAAGCAAGTCCTGCAAAAGCCAGGGCTGGAACAGGCAGGGCTTGGGTTATCGAATGGGCTTGAACCCCCTTGCCAACCAAAGGGCTTTGGGAAAGACTCAGAAATTCTTATCAAGCAGAAAGGCAGGAAAGGAAAGGAAAAAAAAAAAAGAGCAAATCTGCTATGTTATACATGAAAGAGGTTTGGAGACGCACACACAAATACACTTTTCTGCTGCGAGTTATTAATTGTGCACCAACAATTTGGTGTGTTTCTACATGYAACACCAGAAACGGGATCTTTCTCCTACAATTATCGCACACTTGAAACCAACAAAAATTGTCATTTTTTTCTACAGAAATGGCAACACTTATTTTTCAACAACAATGGGAAGATATGCAAAAATAGGCCATAAAAGAAAGGGGGGGAAAAATGATCTGCTTTCTCTTTAAAGCCACGAACAATAGAAGGTCACGTGCGCAGTATCCTATCATTCAGCACATTAATAGCTGTGCTGGAGTAATTACACTTGTGGTATTTTTGCCTCAAGTGAAATTCTGAAATAAGAGGATGGAAATTATGATACTGCTGATAAATATTAATAAGTGAACTTTTAATTTTTTTGCCACAATATTCAAAATGCTAAGCATCTAGCTAATGCTGAAGCAGCCTGATATGTGTTTGCCTCCAGGGACTATGATGCTTTATGCACTTAAGAAAAAAGTTTAACGGAATTAAAATTTAATATCTAATTAGAGCAAGGCTAATATATTTTGAAATGAGTGGGGAAGACGCACGCCTCTGTTGCATATTTGCTACGGTCATTAATCTTACCTGTAAAGCAGCATTGAGAGGTGTGCAGTAGGTGTGGCTGGTCTGTATGTTTTTAATAAGAGAAGGGTTACTGCATAAGAAAAACATAAAAAGGAGAGTTAAATGCAACCAACTTCTGCGAGGATGTTTCAAGCATGTAAGCTGCCTCCCACACCAGAAAACTAGAGCTGAGATTATTATTTTTTTTTCTTTTTCACACAAGTTCTCTTTCTTTTCTTCTATTTTTTTTCTTTTAATCTGAGTTTCATGGTTAGGGTGTTTGCCTTTGCTAACCATGGAGCATCATCTCCTCTTGAAGGCACCTGCCTGAGGCTGGCATCCCCACGGGGGGCAAGTGGTGGCCAGCAGCCCATGGCCATGGAGAAGGGGTCATCTTAAGGAGGCCCAGATTAAAAGCACCCCGGAATATTTTAAAGGCTCCATGAGGCAGATTATCCTCCAGCAGCAGAATCTCTTGTGTGAGGGGAGGAAGGATGGGAGATTTCTGGCTTCCCAAACCACGTCATTCCCTGCCACCAAGGTGCTGTTGGTGCCACAGCCCCAGAAGGAAAGCACAGTGCACGGGACCTGAAGGACCATGTGGCCTTAGATGGAACCAACTGAACAAAAATCATGCCCACGTGTTATTCTGCACCTGTACTTGGGTCATCTTTATTTTCCATACAGGGTCGGATTTGAGGAAAATAAACGCTGAACAAATCCACTCTCTCTTTAGCAGGCATCCAAAAATCACTTGTGCCACTTGGGGAGAAAAACAAGTCTCCAACGATCAACTAGGTAAGAAGTCCCAATGCAAAAACACTCCAAAAAGCATCTCCAAGTGCTGGCCACATTTTAATTATTATTATTATTATTATTTTTTTGCATGTGGGAGTAAATCACGGTGAGAGCAGTCTTAACTGACCCCCCTCCCACAGGGACTAACAAGGATCAGTTATTCTGTGGAGGTGGCCTCCAAGTAAAGGTCACAGAAAATTGCTTTGGGAACCCTAGAAGCATTTGAGCGTGGCTGCTGGAGACACAGCATGGCCTGCTGTTACACCCTGTACAGCTGGTCTCATGGCACTTTCGCAATTTTTTAGGTTAATTCAGCATTTCTGTTTCATAAGCACCTAATTGCATTTTTTTTTTTTAACTTAAGAGCTGCAAAACAAGGCACACAACTGTAAGCAAGGAAAACATCAAAATTAAAACATATCTGACCCCCCTCCTGACATTTATCTGTCTTCCTGACCTATCTACAGAAGCATAGCTGTGCTAGCACGGATAATTATTTTWTCCTAGATTGCACTATAAACAAATTCGGCAACAGACACATCAAGGTAGAGCTATTTTCACAGGCATTTGGATTATCAGAGTAGGACACACGAAATACACGTAACAATCAAAAATTTAGTTTCTTTAGCAGCAAAGGTGATGTCACTATTTTGTGAAATGCAAGTCTACATGAGATGGGTAAACCATGCAAAGCAAAGCAACAGCAGAAAAAAAAAATTAAAGCAAGTAAAAGCTCTTACTGTGCAACAAGCTCGCCAAAGTTTTCATCAGGGCAGTATTTTCGAGGACGGCCTCGTTGAATATGACGGCCACGTTTAAACTCTTCATCATCAACAGTCCAAAAGGACCCAAACTCATCCTCTACTCTGATAAAGCACTTATGCAGTGAGAGGTTGGTGCGAATGGCACCCTGGGACAAGAGCAGCAGCAAAGGAGATGAAGTGGAAACAAAGGGACACGGGATCGGGGACAGAACAGACGTCAAATAACAGGGAAAAGGAAAAAGAAAATAAAATGCAATAAGCATAAGCAAATGGTTTGTGAGGGTTAATATGCATTGCCACCTACAAGCTACTAGCATGTGATGCGACAAACACCAAGCAAGCAGGGTCGGGGTGCTGGTGGGCACACAAACAGTAGTGATGAGATGTTTGTCTTGCTTTCCCTTAGCTGACACAATGCGCAACCACCTGCGGTCGGTCTAGCACCAGCTAGCAGCCAAAAGCCTCTATGTTACACTGTAAAAGCATGATCCAAGCTAGGCTAAGAAGTTCAAACATGGTGGACGTACCCACTGATCTTTTGTGGCCTTCGTTTTTGGAACTCTAGTTCATCCACTGTCCATACTGCCCCTTTAACGTTTTCTACTCGCACAAAACACTTGTGAAGACTAAGATTATGACGCACTGCATTCTGCAGCAGGTATAAAAGAGAAAACATTCAAAAACTTTCCATGAGAAAATGCTCATCATCGCTCAAGAACAGCAGCACACACAGCGTGACAGTCCTCAGACTGCAACATCCCCGCCCCGCTCCCCATCCCCGCACACCAGCCCTTCAATTCTTAATTTGCAAAGGTAAAACAAAAGTGTAAACCCGCTGTTAGAAAGGCAAGTTACTCTTATAATGGGAATAGTCAACATTTTACACATGCACATTGCACAGTCAAGCGTATTTTGTACAAGACATGGCATTTCCAAAGCRAGCTCATGGGCTCTGCACAGAGATGTGTGCCTGTCTCTCCTGCAAAAGAAAGCAGCAGTGAGTCCAGCACTAGGGCCAGCAGTGGTGTGGGATAGGATGGATTTGTCTGGTCCAGCCTACGTGTCCCAACCTTCACTTGAACCCCACGCTGAAGAATACTTTAGCTGCAAAGACCCAGGTGAGATCTCGTGCTCCATTCATCCATCCATCACCCCTGGCACCGCTCATTTCGTCAAGCTGGTGGCCTCGTTAGCAGGCACAAGGCCAGCCTCATACATGGCCCTGGGTCCAGGCAACCAAGAGACTCCAAACTTTTGCCTCCTGTCTTCTTCTTCCTCTTCTTTTTTCTAATGAACATCAGGTCTGGAGGGTGCAAGGCAGCACTAACCACGAATGTCTAAATCATTGCTCAAACAAAGGGGCTGCATGGGGTATTTGTCATGCAAATACTGGATTTTTCTACTTCTCTTCTCCTCCTCCTGGAGCACGGCAGCAGGGAGCTGRAGTCTAGGAGAAAGCCAACATTTTTGTTTGGGATGCCTTTCTTTCTTCTGCTACTTTTGATCTTCTTTGTTTTTCTTTTAAGCATCTCTCACTTTCTCACTGGTCATGGAAAAGTGGGTCCGTTGAGTTTGTGGCTGTGCACACTGCTTCATGGAAACAGCAGTGCTCTTATTTAAATATATTTAATACCAGGGACATCTTTTGCAGCCTATTCTTACGCTACGGACACCAACACTTGCCTTTCCATGGCCTGGGTCAGGCTCTTGCCGAACATCCCGGGAAAGTGCAGCCGTAGCTTGTGCATTCCCTCATTGCAGGATTTATTACTGAAAAGTGATTTGCTTGCCCCCTGCCCCTAGATTCTTGCTATTTCAAAGTTTTATTTGGGATACCTCCGCRTCCCAGAGTTACACCTGCAGCCCTCGCCTCGTGGCTGCGACTCGGTGCCAGCAAACTGCTCCAAAAAACAAAAAGCAAGGAGGCATTGCCTCTGACCTGTCAGCAGCAGTTCACAGCAATCAGCCTAACAGAAAAATTAGGAGCTATTACTGCAAGATTATATATTTACCTTGTTAAAAATATTTGTATGCAAGCCACTTTGGCAGAAAAAAATTACCCTGAGCATGCTTGAATGTGGTAAATGAAAGGGTTTGTTCTTTCAGTAACTGCTCAGGCTCTGCTGTGCTGCATTTGAGGAGCAGGTCTTTCTTCCCAAGACTTTCCATGGTTTCAAAATCAGTCTCAGGGAAACTTGCCTGCCCCAACCCCTCACCCTGCACTCAGGGAACACCAACCCAAAGGGCAGCTATGCACTAAGGGAAGGTGCAAACCTATATATATATATATATATATATATATATATGTATATATAGGAATGATCCTAATGCTGCCCTTAGCCCCTTGTTCTTGCTCAAAGCCCTGTGGGCTCCTCATCACCTGCAGGCCCCAGGACGTCTTGCACCAAACTCATTCCTAAACGTGACCCTTGGAGGGCACCGAGTCTCTGGCTGCAGGAGTTGGATGGGATTTTCGCTTTGGTATCTTCGCCACCTGCGGCTGCTCCCAGTGGCAGGAAACGGGCAGGGCTAAAGGGATCTTAACTGGGGGGAAAGTTATTTTCCTCTCTGGGTGGTCGGGAAGCCGTGTCATGAAGCGCTGTTTGTGTTTCCCAACTGAAGAGGGAATCAGAAGAACAATCACAGGGCTCCTTCCTGAATGTAAGAGCTTGGAGAATCACCCTGCAACACGGTTTAGAAGGAGAACATATGGCTGAGGGAAAGCTAACRTCTGAGGAGCACTTCCAGGTCCATCTTTTAAAGGAACTGATCCAAAACGCAGGCTGAAAGGCCAAGCAAAATGAGCAAAAAGGTGAGAGGGCAGGTATGGGCATCTTCTTCCTCTGCTCCTCTGAGCTGGTCGCTTGAGAGCTGCTTGTTGGGGAGCAACGGAGTTCTTGGACTGAGGGTGCCTCACAGCATGGGTTTGTGGAGTGATTTTTACTGTTTTACGTACTATTATTTGATTCATTCATTAGCAATTGCACTTGCTTGAGAAGGCAGTGAGACAGTTTTAACACTGTATATAAGGGAAAGGGCTCCCAAAATATCAAATAAACTCTTCAAATCTCTTATTGAGCAGCATTATAGTTACGGTAAGAAATTTAGGTGCCAAAACCAAGCTGTTTAGGTCTCTAAGGGGATTTCTTTGGGTGGGGCTTGCTTCTCAAGTAAGTGCTGTGTTCAACAAACTTCTGCGTTATTAATAGGAACAAAAAAATGAAGTTTTTAACAGATCCGTAAAAGCACTGGAGAGCCACCTTATTAAGGCAAGAAATCCACTTATCTACACATCCTGGGAAGAAAAACGTTATGATTACAGTCCAAGCAACTAAAAAAATAAACAGTACATCTTCTATGGACACGAGAACTTTACCTTTTTCTTTCATTTTCTTTTTTTTWAAATATGCTCCAGCTCGAGGGCTGCAGCTTCCCTGCGAGCAGAGGGGCCGGGGGCATCATCATCCCCATCAAAGCCACTAACGGGGGATTCAATTAGCGCCTTGCAAAGGAATTCTCYCCGTGCCCAACACGAGATAAGCCGAGCAGATAAGGCGGCCGAGGCGGCGGGCTCGGCGCTTACCTTCCACGTGGCCGCGTTGCGTCGGAAGTAGGCGAACATGCGCGTGAACCAGTTGTAGATCTCGTTTAGTGTTAGCTGTTTCTCCGGCGATTCGAGGATGGCCTTGGGAAGCAAAGTGAGGGGTCGTTAGGACTGAGGGCAGCTCCAAGAGCCCCCGCGGATTTACTTAAACCACGTGCAAAGGGGAAAAAAACTCAAGAAAAACATAAAGGAAAGAAAAGAAAGGAAGGAAGGGGGAAAAAGAAGGCAAAAAGAGGGGAGATTTGGAGCAAAAATCCAAAGGAGAGTTTTCACAATATGAACTAAGATTAATGGCTGTATTTAACAGTTCAATGGCAAAATTCAAAATGGAATTATCTAATTGTTTTGAGTTTTTATTTCTGTTTCCTTACAGAAATATTAATTTATTAGTCATTCATAAAGCAGAATCAAAGAGAAATGCAAAACATTTCACTAGCTGATTAAAGCTCAGTAATTATTTAGAGCTCAGATTAATTCTAGGGATCAGAGATTACTGTAGCTTGTGATAATTGACTTGCCATCTTTAAACAGGCTCATTTTCACTGTTGTGTGAAATGAATTTCCTAATAATCACATCGTATTGTAATACTTAATCAAAAGCAATTATGTTATATATTGCAGTTCTAAAAACCCTTATAGTAAAGGTTTGAGCGTGCTTGCACACCAAAGGCTTTCTTTTAAACCTGGTTTAATCCCGGGCGCGCGGGGCCCCACTCACCTGTCTGATTAACGACGCGTAGGTGAAGGGCGGTCGGACCTCGGCGTTCTTGTAGAACTCCTGGTTCTGGGCAATATCTGCTAAATGAGAGCGGCGCGGGGCTGTCAGCACCCTCGCGGCGGGCCCGGCGCCGGCAGCACCCTCGCGGCGGGCCCGGCGCCGGCAGCACCCTCGCGGCGGGCCCGGCGCCGGCAGCGAGAAGCGCGCGTTACCTGACGAGATGGGCACGTTGTACTTGTCCGAGTACCGCCGGCGGATGGGCCCCACGTTGTGCATGCTGGTGGTGGTGATGACGGAGGGGCCCTGCGTGACGGGCGTGATGGGCGCCGTCGGCGTGGTCGGCGTGTGCGGCAGGCTCTGCGGCGACGCCTCCGACGCCGTCTTCGACAGCGTCACGCTCGACACCAGGTTGAGCTGGGGGGGCGGGAGATAGGAAAATAAATGCGGGGGAGGAAAATTAATATGCGATAAACGCGCAATTGCTAGCTACATTATGAGAAAAAAAAAAAAGAAAAAAAGCGACCTCCAAATTGTGGATTTTTAGCTCAACCTTAGAACGAGAAAGCTCTTGTGCTCCGCAATCACATTAATGATTTATCTCAGCCCCGTCGGCTCAGTCTGTACCCTGCACATCCCTCGTTCCCGCGTTAGTGTCAGGCCTGGCCTCTAATCCATCTTCTTGGCTAYTGCATCGAAGGCGTTAAAATAAAAGGCTGGGCTTTCTCAGGGACGCACTCGGAGGAAATGAATTTGCTCTCTCTTCTGCATTTAGACTTTTTAATTTTTTTTTTCCGCCTTCAGTGCTCATCCACTACTAAAGCAAAGGCTCTACTAGGCTACCTGGGGGATAATTTCATTAATCGGCAGCGCCTGCAGTGCCAGGCAGTGAAAGGTCCTCAGCCCCTGAATCASCCAGCTTTGGGACACATTCTGGGAACAACCCCATTCCTGAAACTTGGAAAACGAAAAGTGCTCTTTGACGACTTCCACATTTCCTTCCCTAAGGCTGTTTCCCAAGTACTGCTGCCCAAACCCTGACCCCGCTGTAGCCGGTAGCAGAATTCCTGCTGCATTTAACAGGCCCAGATTTTTATGACTTTTGTTCATGATTAAAATTCCCTTTTTTCCACTGGACTTGAACCCCTTTCAAAGGCACACACAGCAGATGTGCCCCCAAACAGCTCGTGTTTATCCCTAAGACGCTGTATTAATTTCCCTCTTATGAAAGCAACCAGATAAGAAAACTCCTATTAGCATCCCTTGCATGAGCTAATAGCCACAAATAACATTTCTTTAGAAAAATAATAGGATCCATCCAAAACAAAGGTAGCAGGAAATAACATTAGAGATTGGACAGCGTGCAAATAAAAAGCCCGTCGCCCCTGGGAAGGGAACGGCCGCACGATGCGGAAAGGGTGCCAAAACCACAGGGATCGATCTCCTAAGAAAAGTGCCAAGCCTTGGCACTAAGAACAGTGCCAAGCTGCTGAGTCTCCTGCCTGGATGCACCCGGGAAAACCCAGGCATTGATGGAGGGGACCATGTCCATCCACAGTCTGGCTAGATTTAAGGATGCAGATTAGGGATACGGCAGGGCCTCTCTGCTATCCCTCCATCCGTGACAACAACAACAGTCCAGTTGATAGGTCTCACCACAGAATTATTACTACATTTTTTCTCCATTTGCAAATGGACATTTTATCAGCCCGACAACTGTGGTCGCATCCACATGGATGCTCCAGCGGGAGCTCGGCAGCCGGACCCTCCCACGGGAGACACGATGGAGATGCTCCATCCCTGCATCCTTTGCCCGCTTCCAAAAAGTTGCATGCCTTTTYCCGGGGAGGCTAAAACCATTTAATCCCTTCCTGGAAGCAAGGTTCACACTGTCTCACTTGGAAACTGGGATTAAATTTCCCGGGGCTTTTCCGATGCTGGGAGTGCCCAGGAAGCGAGGCGGCRCGGAGAGGGCGCCTGGCGAGCGACACGGCGACTCGCACCCGCCGCTGGGCCCTGCTAATAAGCGGCAGAGGAAGCAGCCAATCTCAGCTAATTACCAGATAAAATTGTATTGTAAGGACTCTAATTAGGAGATGCTTACGGAGGTGATCTGATGATTAAACGCTGCATCTGAGTGACCCCACCATCAATGTGCAGCGGTGCAAGATGTCACCGGAATATCTCTTTTTTTGTGTGTGTGGAAACAGTAATTTTATTTCGAGGAGGGGAGACAGTAATATTTGTAATAATGGCTACGAGGTAAACTAATTAAAAGACAGTTCCTAAAGGAAGGCTGTGGCTTTGAGCAGCTGTGGCTGTTCCAAAACAAAGTGCCAAATCTCAACAGAGGAGCTGCAGTCAAGTGGAAAATTTCTGCCTGACCTCTGCTCTCGCTATTAATTTGCAGGAAAACTAATGACACATATACATATTCCCACAAAATTGTTCTAATTGCTAATTTGCCAAAGGAGCCCGGTTTTCAAATTAAACATGACTGCAGTCTGCGAGCAAAGAAAGAACAAAAAGCCCGGGCAGCGCGAAGAGGCTGCGTCTTGCCTCCAACAACCGCGCGAGAGCCTGAACCAACAAGTTAATGAAAGACGACCTTGTCGACTGCTAGCAAAGTTTCCCCCCTTTTTTAATGTTTTTTTGCTTTTTTTTTCATGGTGCCTTCCCTTTTTCCAGCAGGGGTGCAATCCCTGTCGGGGATATTACCGAAATACAAAACAGTGGAGGGGAAAAGACCACTATTCTCCCGCTTTGCGACGCTGCTCTCTTTGTTAGTGACGGACCACAGACCTAAAAAGCAGCCGTGAAGTAGAGCAGAATAACAAATTATGAATGGTGTTGGTTTTGTTGCAATCCTGAAATATTAATCTTGATTGTAAACTATTAAATCTTAATCTTGTCGCCAGTTACAGATGAAAAGCAGCTGGGCTCTGCTGCGCTGCCGGCTGCTCGAGACGCTGACACAGGGCAGAGATCAGGAAGGGACGGGACGGGGAAGGCTGCTTTTCCTGATGGAAACTCTACACCACTCCTCACTGTTTGCATTTGCTATTTAAAAACAAGTTACTATGATTAGACAAGTTGTTAGCGCTGGTATTTGGTATACAGCTAGTTTCCCACATACTGGATTTTTGGGAAGAGGTATCGTGCCTAGTGCAGGGTAGTGAAGAAAGGGACCATGTTTGTGTTTTAATCAGAGTTTTTATCCTAGGATGCTGCAGCACAACCCTCACTCTGAAGGGTTAAACCTTCTTCCAATGTTCATCCTGGGAGGGGTAAGGATTTATTTCCCCTTTTTATTAAGGTAAAAAAAAAACCCCACACTCTTAAAAAATAGTCCAACTCCCAAAATTCTGTAAATTCAATTACTGAAAGTTGTTGGGATTTTGTTCCTTTTTTTTTTTTTTTTTAAATAAAAAAGAATAGTATCCTATCCCACTTTAACTTAACAGTCACAAATGCTGTAATTGTTTCAGCGTTCAATATCCTGCTTAGCATTTTACTATTAACCTTCCCTTTCAAGAAACAGCCACTTCTTCCTCTTAAAGGTGAAGACCGAGTCATCAATTTCCTCCCCACCGCTCCCTCCTCTTTAAATATAACCAAGGCAAGAGGTAACCCTCTCCTTCACCCCATCAAATAGATTTCTAGTAAGTAGCTCAGCCATCAGGCCTCGCTTTGATTTCTCTCCACGTAAACATTTTACATGACAAGAGTGGCTGCACATAAAATAAAATAAAAAAAAAAATCTGAAACAGTTTAAAAAGAGGGAGAAGGAGGAAAATATAGGTGTGTTTATAAGTGTCACGCTGGGGCCGCAGCCAGCGCTCCAGGGCAGCGAGTCCCCTTGCAGAGACGCTGCCTTTGTGGTCGCTGCTGAAATGGGGATTTTCGGCATTCCCGAGGGTGGGAGCGATGCTCCGGCGGGGCCACGGCCGCCGCTCCGCTCCGGGGTCTCCCCTCTCCATCCACAGCCGGGAGCGCGCGAGATGCCGAGTGCGGCAGGCAGCGATCACTTAGCAGGTGTTGTTATTGGCAGCAATACTGAGGAAACCCAAGATGGGGAGTGAGACTTAATGAAAACCAGTATATAAAAACAGCCCTTGTTGTGCTTCAGAATCTCCCCTTATTGCTGCGCCGCATTATTTTTTCAAACTATAAAGCGAGGCTACAGCAGCTAAAATGCTCAGTCATTACCTCAACAGTTAAAAGACCTTTTTTTTGTTTTGTTTTAATGCTTTGTTATTACAGTTGCTAAAAACAGTATTTCAAAACAACCGTAATTGCTATGGTTAGGGCAAAAAAAAATACATTAAAGAAGGGATATCTAACAGTGCTTTTTCATTTGAAGTGCCAAAAGTTTCTTTAAAAGTTTTCTGCCTATTTTTAACTGATGGAGGTAACACCTAGTATGCAGAATTACTTGTTGGTTGATGCTTTTTCCTTTTCCTTCCCTTCCTATGAACTTTGACGCTAGCTAATCTTCCAAAAGAAATCACATTTCCATTTCAAACCATTAGGCTGATCACCAACACGGATGAAAATAGCATGTAGGGGAAGCTATCTATCTTAATGGGAAAAGCAGGATGATATAATTCTTCAGAAATGTTCTGGATTTCTTTTTTTTTTTTTAATTGAAAAATGTTAGCTACCAGAAACAAGTCACAGCACATTCCTCCATGGGCAGCTTTATTCCTTTCTTTTTGTTACCTCATTCTCACTAAAAATGACATGTGCTGAATAACAGGAACAAATCCATATTTTCCAAATGCTATGCTGAGAGATAGATCCATATTCTTCCCAGGTGCTGGGCCACTGGATACTTTACTTAGGAAAACGGGTGTTTTTGAGACCTCCTCCTCCAGACCTCACTCCACACACAGACTGATCTGCCCACAGCCCAGACCATCCAGTAGGAAAGGTGCATGAGAACGTGCTCAAATCTCAYGGGCTTTAAGAGGACTAAAGAGCTTTCTGGAGCAGACAGGCCTTGGCTTGGTAGAGCAGGATTAGTCTGGTAGAGCAAGCTGCACTGGCCACGCCACTGCACATCCCAAAGCAGGAACTTCTATGGGAAACTACAGCCGTTCAGAGCTGGACAYGGGACCATGGAGCACCTCTGCCATGGGGGACAAGCAGCAGCCCCAGGAACCCACCTGTGATCACAGCAGCTCCCAACCAGCCCTGGAGGCACCTCTCTACCTGCTGCTTATGGCACAGTGCAAAAAAACAGGCATTAAGATCCTTCAGAAAGAATAAAAATATTCCTCCAGCCACAAGAAAACTGCAGCTTTAAGTCCCAACTCATTGCTATGCTTGGATTCGCAGTCTCTCTTGCCTTTAAAATCACAGATGCACCGTAATATATTAATCCTAACATACACCTTGCATTAGTTATGCTGGTAAAAAGAAAGAAAAGAAAAAAAAAAAAAGAAATTAATTACTGGATGTAAAGAATACTTGCACCGCAATAATGGTCATCAGATCTTTTTACCAAAGTCCTATCCTACTGAGTTAAAAGGACTAGGGTCTAGCACAGTCTGTGCAGTGCCTGTGTATTTTTTTCACAAGGAAAGCACAATTTATGCAAAACACTATACTTCTACATTTTATAATTAATTTTCAAATGCTTCACCTATACATATTTTAATAATTTCCGATTTATCAGATGGTATCTATAATAATTTTTTCTATATTTCAATAAATGAAAAGAAGGCAGTTTCAATCCAACAACAGAGTGCCACACAATATAGGCCTGTCAGGCACCAATTTTTACTTCTAACATGTAAGTTAAAGGATAAGGAATTTATAATGCTGCCTGTGAACGAAACCACTTTTCATACACAAATGTGATCTTTTTTTTTTTTTCCAAAGGGTAATACAACAGTACATTTACATAAACTAATCCAAACAATCTATGTATTTGACAATGGCAAACCTCACACAGACTGCCTATTGTTGGTTTACATCTTGGAGTTCTTTATGTTGGCTTGTAACACTGCTCTAGCTGTCAAAGGTTTGACTTGGACTCTAAATAAATGGTTATAGAAGTGCTGTGCAGCGATATTGGACTTCTTTGCAAAAGAAAACCTGCTGTGTATGAATTCAAAAGCTATTAATTTTTCAGTCAAAAATATTCATGCCTATTTCTTTTAATAAAGAAACACTGTGCTGAGCAACTGAGAGATAATGTTGACTAGTGGTACAGAATTTTCAATAGAGCAGTTAAAAATAAATTTAGTAGGAGGTCCCCAACAAAGCTATAATTTTCCAGAATGTAAAACATTTTTAATACTAATCAAGACAGCCCTTTTCCCCCTATGTGCCTTTCCCCCCCCCGCCCCGCCTTTTTTTTCCTGTCGCTTTCCCCTGTTTATTAGCTGTTAGTACCAATGTTGGTGGCAACACCACCTGGCACCTTGGTAGCCTATGTGGCTGTCAAGAAGTGCATGGCAGTGGCCACCACGCAGCCCCAGCTGCTCTTGCTGCCTCCTTGTCCTCTCCCTTGGGTTTCTAATCCTCCCTCCTGAGGGGCACTGCTGCTACGAAAGGCCTCAAGGCGAAGTGCTTGGAGACTCCCAGCTTATTCTGCTGTTTTTGCTTTTAATCCATTAGGAGCTATAGAAACTGAACTTCCTCCCTGCTCYGATGGGGCTCTTGGGTTTGGCCAACACAGTGCTGAGACATTTGCATCTCAGCCGAGGCGGAGATGAGCAACTGGAAGGATGCTGCTTCCAAAGCCACTGGAAGTTCTCTCTCTCTCCCTCTTGGAGGGCTGAGATCCATTGTATCAAGACATTTTAGGAACCTCAATGGCTTAAACCACTGAGCGTTTAGACTTAACGCTCAACCTTCGTCAAGACGGCATCAAAATTTCCCATTGACTTTGACGTTCGCACCCATGTGGCCAAAGAGCCTGAAGTTTTCCATCAAGCAGCCTCCTTAGGCCCATCTTCAGCCATCTATCCCTGACTACACAGAAACTGGGAAAATCCTTTTCAAGTAAAAATGGGTGCGCAAAGTGTTTAATGATTTTATGTTCTCTGTCTCTGTAATGTGTTCTGTCTCGGACATTAATTTTGCCTACCAACTGCATCTTGGCAGGCTACCATATTTGCTGGGTTAATAGTCTGACTCCTTTTTATTTCTATCACCACAAATCATACGTATATGGGTGTGTGTTTGCTTTATTTATAAAAAAAATCAGTCAAAACAGATAAACTAATACTTTGTCATTATGCTGCATCATTGCATATTGATTAAAATTGCTCGTACTAACTATAGATTGTCAACGCTCAATTAATTCTCACACAATGACTCAAAGCAAGATCAAATAAAGCCAGTGTACCTTTAAATCTTACAAATCTTAAAATTAAGAAGCAGAGCACTCTTCTCCACTTTGAATAATCACGGCAAGCTATGAGGAACATAGCATTAAGAGGTTAGGAGAAAACAACAGCTGGAGAGTCATTTCCATCAGAGGTGGAGATGATGGTCTGGTCTTGCTTGAGTTTGTGCTACCAAGCTGCTGAGTACCTTGGAAAAATGAGGAGTTTGGGGCACACTCCAGCGGCCTCCAACCTTTATAGAGCTGTAGGACAGATATGTTTCCCTTCCTAAGGAAGCACAAAACCTGACACGAAGCAGCAGTGCTTAACATCAACATGTGCAACTAGAGCCTGCCCTACTGCCTAACCACGCCAGGCTTAGAGAGAAAGCAAAATAAATATACTAAATGTAATTTAATTACACCTCATTCCTGGCACTTCCTAGGATTTCATGCACTTCTCCCTGATGTAGGGCTGCTCGTAGTCCGAGACGTGAGGCCAGAGCAAGGCCCAGTGCATCTGCTTAGGAGCTCAACCTCTTAGAAAACAACTTGCAAAACAAAAACGTGATGGAAGTTGGGTTTATGCTGCAGTGTCTCCTAGCAGGCACTTTGCATCCCTCCCCAGCAGCAGACTTTACAGCAGAGCTTGCTTTACACTGGGGTGGGAAAGGAGAAGAGAGGACGACGTGCGGTCCCTGCACCACGTGCTACTTACGGGCTGAGGGGTGGCTTTCGGTTCRGTGGACTTCACATGCAGGTGTGTCATCATCGCTTGCAGGCGCTCTTTATCTTTTGCGAGCTGAAAAAGGGGGAAAAAAACAACACTATTACTCGTATGAATAACATCCAACCTCTGCTTATTCCTAATTAAACAGTTGGCACCAGTACGTAAGACAGAAGAGTTTTATTGCTGAGCAGTTTGGAAATTGCATACTTTTTTTAAAGTAAAAAAAAAAAAAAAAAAAAAACTGGTGCTGGGTGTCAGTGTTTCCCAAAGCAAAACGCATTAGCCCTTGAGCACGAGGAGCTAGACCTGCTGGCACCAAGGGCCCCGCTCCAGCACTGACAGCAAGAAGACAACAGTGAATCATGTTTATGAACCTGCCCCACGCCAGCTCGGGAGGCAGAGCAGCAAGTTATGCAGCTGCTCAACTGCCTTTTCCTCCTTTACTACCCCAAAATGAACCACATGAGTGGACTGCAAAGAAGGAGTTTGCGGTGGCCAAGGCATCCCAGCCCTAAAACTTCCTATTTCCAATGGGGTCAGAGGAAAATTTCTGCGGAGCTGAGCTTTGCTTTACACGAGGCAGATTTCCAGGGCCAAGAGCAGAGCTCGGCTCACATTCTCCTGCGACTTTAAACAACCTGCCCACCTTATCAGCAGCATCTGTTTGGAGCAGTAAAGTCAGGCTAAGTGTATATAAAAGGCGACTGGGTCATAAATCCCCATTCATAACTTTATAGTCAAGGTTGTCTTGCTCTATGCTAGACAAGGGGTTTTGGACCATGCCAGAGAGGCGTCGTGATGGGGTTTAAAAAAAAAGTGTACTCTGGAAGTGCGGAAAACCATCGGGCTTTGTAAGTCACCTTGCTTTTTTGGGGGCAAAAGTCTGAATGCAAAAGAAAATAGCCTGACACATACAGTGGAAGAGCAGGGAGCTACATGTTCTTAGCACAGTGTGCTCAGAACTGTGTCCTCCATGGGGCCTCTATGGGTCTCTTGGGAGAAAGAAGGGGTCTCAGCTACAACATTCCACACAAAATTAGTGAAAAGGAAAAAAAAAAAAAATCCTACTCTGAGCAACATTTTATTGTGCAATTCCTCATTCCCAGCAGTTGCTGCACATGGGCTGCTTGGCAGGGTCACCTGCACATTCAATTTTAGTCTGCTGCGGAAGAACAACATCTTCCAGTCGAAATAAATAAGCAGCAGGCACCTGAGAGGCTCCTGTTTGCAAGGCAGCAGCAACAGCCCCAGAAAGCCACTCGTGCAGTCAGGGACAGACCCTGGCAGCACCTCCTAGAGCCCCTCGTCCGTAGGGAGCGCGGGGCTCTTCTCGGAACTGTGAGTGTCCTCCTTTCCATGGGTTTTCRGTCATCGTCCTAGCACGCTTTTAATGCGGCTCCTGGTGGATGAGTGTTATTAAAGATCCTCTCGACATTTCAGGCAGACACACACCAGTATTTTGTCATAGTCTAGGAATTCAAACACTCACCCAGTTTAGGCAGGAGTTTAAATTATGAAAAATAGAAACCTCGCGGTTTCAAAGCACTAAAGGGAAGCAAAAAAAAAAAAAAAAAAAAAAAAAAAATCCCAAGAATTTCTTTAAACTGTTTTCCCTTAGGTCAGGAAGCAGTAGCGATATAGAACTAGAACATCACTAGCAGCTCCCTCCATCCAGCTGGATTGCTCACAAGAAACCATGAGGGTTTGCTCAGCCACCCATGTGAGCAAATGGGTGAGACCCCAAGGTGCAGAAATGGTCACTACTCGTGGGGTGGCAGGGAAATGCTCTCCATGTGCTCCTGGGCAAGGTCCGTTAAGCACTGGAAGCAAGCTCACCCAACAGTGCTACTCTTAAAAGATGTATCTGAGTCTGAGGGCTACTGGAGAGCACTATTCATTTCTCTGCTGGTCTCTGGTACRGGAACTTCGCCTATAAAGCTAAATTTGAAGGCATGCACCAAACATGCAATTGGTAAATCTTTCCCCTTGTGCTAGGGTTGGGCAGGACTATGCTGCTGAGCAGTGGCTCCTCGGAGGAACACGCAGAGCCMAGCAAGGTGCTCTGCAAATCAGGATGCAAAGACATAGGCCTTGCCTTGAAGGGGGGCAACCCAAGCCCAAACCCACTGACATGGACAGGGAGAATGAGACGGCACGGAAAGCAGAGGCCAGAAGAAGGTGCTTAAGGGAAAAGGGCACAGCAGAGGAGCCACGAGCCCAAGGACAGGGAGACAAGGTGTTAAGCACAGAGATGTAGACATTGCATAGCAGGGGAAAAAGTAAAAGGATAAAAAGAAAAAAAAAAGAAAAAAATAGAAAAAAAAAAAAGAAAAAATTTGCTGGAATCCAAAAATGGAGCAGCATGACCAGAGTGAGGGGAAGAACGGGTCACTTGCATTTTGGACAGACCAAGGACAAGAAAGAAGGAAACTAGTCACAGTCACCAGAAAAAACAGCTGAGACTGAACCTCTTCCCTCCTTCCACGTGCTTGTTTACACTGCATATTAGAAAGGACTGGGATCCACTTTTTAAGATCATCTGTAGATGCCTTAGGAAAACAGGCCCAAGTCGTGTTTTCTCTGCACTGAAACTATGTCCTAGTTGGACACAGGGCCAACTATCTCCATGTTCTCCTACTGGGAGATAATTCTTTTAACTTGTAATAGCCTTGTTGCTCTCCTGAAATGTTTTTCCATTCAAAGGTGGTGCTGCAAAATTAATGTCTTATTCCAGCTAAGATCTAGCTAGGGCTAGGGATATGTTCCTCTGTTTGTGTTTTACCCCGTGGCCCAATTCTCACTATTTATAATGGCAACAAATGATCATGTCAAGATGGTTTAAACAAAGCGAAACATGAGAAGATCTCTACCTTGTCTGTGATATTTTAGGAAGACTTGTGATGGAGATGCTGAGACCAAAACTTCAGCAGAGTTCTGCAAAGGGGTATTTGCAATCAGGCAGAAAACAGATCTGACTTGTTCTGTCTCCAAAAGGTTCATTTAATATTTAGTGTCTTTAAAAGACACTGCACTCATCTCTCTGTCTGTAACACTGTACGCAAGATAAATAATGGCATGGTGTGGGGGGAGCAGGGGAAGGAAGAAAAAGAAAGAAGAAACTTGCATTTCGGTCTATGTCACACAAAACTTGAAACGCCTTCCTCAGACGCAGCCATTTGGGAGTAAGTTAAATGCTCCCCATGCTTCAACAGGGCTCCATAGGCAAAAGAAGATGCAACAACTCGATCTTGCTGGCATCCTGAACAGCATGCGGTACCTCGGCACTGATGACCACAGGGCCAAGTGGGAAGGTGATGGACATCCTGCCTGCCCTGCTCCCTAAATGTGGCGACTCGGCCACGGGGCCACCTCCTGTGACTGACACTGGCTCTAGTGTCCTCCCCTCCTCTTGTGCATTCCAAGAACAGGACCAGTGATGGGCTCTGCTGCACTCCCTTATCAACAGCGCAGTCTAAATTACACTTACAGTCCCTCTTATCTACTGTGCTAGCAAGACTGTTAAAAAAACAACCAAACAAACAAACAAAAAAAACCCACCACGATGACGTGGGCATCACCCTCACATCACTGTGAAACTGCATGCTTGTCTTGGGGACTTTGTGCCACCTTCCCAGGCAACAGTCTCTGCATGAGGAGGTACCTCCCAGCACTGATTGGGGGTATATTACTAATTATTACTAATTACTAGTCACTTTTTACAATTAATAATAATGCACTACTGATAAAGAAAATTTCAAAAATATTGTCAAGGATTATAGTGAGGGGTGGCAACCACCTCTGTCCTGCTCAACGGCTAACATGGGGCTTCCTCCCATAGCTCAGGCCCACTCAGTCCCAGGGACTGCAGGAGATGAGGATTAATGCTCTGCAAGCTGATTGCAAATAAAAAAAATAATAGTAATAATAAAAAAATCTAGATTTACCTTCAGCTTCGATATTACTGCACCTTGGTAAAAGATTATCTCCTATCTCAATTCACCAGGAAGACTGCAGACTTTATTTTTTCTAATTCCCAAGAAACTTGTTAAAATAACAAACCGTTTCTCAAAACAATTTCTGCAAGACTCTGATATTTTATGACTGGTAGTTTGATTTTTCAAAAAATTGTATTAAAATAGTTTATATTGCTCCAGCTAATAGTGAAAGAGCGTCATGACCAATGTGCTCCTGAAAGTAAAATTTAGGAAATATCTATGAAAGAAAAAGGGTAATTTGTAAGATAAGAAGATAAAAGACATTTTCTTAAAAAATCCTTATCTTGAAAAGTAACAACAAGAAGTTTAAGTGTGTTTTTGCTGATTTTTCTCTCCAACTATTTGAAGCTATAAATGACTTAACTCAGTAAAATTCCAAATGTAATTATCTTCTGTACTTAGCCCAAGGCTTTCCATATATCTCTACACTGCTGTCTTGCATACAAAATAGGGTTTTCAATAGCTGGTAACTATATAGTGTACAACATTGTTTTAATTTCCCCTTCCTCGCTAACCCCTTGCCTCCGCACCGAGACGCCG